CCGCAATGCCACTGCCCATGTCGCCATCCTCAGATGCCTGGCAGTTGATGAGCACTCCCACTTTGTGGGAGTTGCGTCAAGCCGTGCTCTCCGGGCTGCCATACTTGCTAGGTACACCACCCCGTTGTCTGCCACTCTTGGTCGCCTCCTCCTAATCTTCTTTCCCGACCTGACCTCTTTCACCACTGCAGCAGATTTAGTCAAGCACGTGCGTTACCTCGAGGCCTGTTGGCGTGTGGCCTTTACTGAGACCCAGCGGCGGCAGCAGCAGCGGTAGGAGCGGCGGCTGCAGCGGCAGCAGCTACTACAATGGCAGCAGCGGCGGCAGTGGTAGCTGCAGTGGTGGCGGCAGCAATGGATGGAGCGGTTGCAGTGGCAGCGGCAGTAGTGGCGGCATCGGCTGTAGCGGCAGTTGCAGCGGCAGCAGCTGTGACGGCGGTGGCTGCAACGGCAGCGGGGACAGTGGCGGTGGCAGAGGCTGCTGGTGCGGCTTGTTCGCTAGTTGGCGATATGCGCGCGAGCAAACTAGAGGGGGAGGGAGGGGGGGGGGGGGGGGGGGGGGGGCTAGGGACGACTAGGAACAGTTTGGAGCGGCAAGGAGCGGCTAGGGGCAGCACGGAGCTACATAACTAGGGGCGAAAACGTTGGTTGGTGGGACCTAACCTAGCTCTAGATGCCATGCTAGAATAGCATGAAAAAGTGACTAGGAAAGGGGGAGGGGAGATAGAAGTACAAATGTGTTGTCCCCTATAGGAGCTTTCCTAGCTAGGTTATAACAAACATATCTAACCTAACTAGAAATACAAGTATGTTGGTTGACAAGTATATCCTAGCTAGGTCAGCTCTTTGAGAGGATAACACCTTTCACTTTTATCTCACCTCCTCCCTTCCTAGTCCAACTTTTCTCACGATCTCAACATGGCATCTAGAGCTAGGTCATGCTTCCGCCCCTAGCTACTTAGCTCGCGTCCCTAGCCGACCCTAGCCGCCTCTAGCCACATTCCCCCACGTCGTTTGTGTCAACAAACATATATATGTCTAGTTAGGTTAGTTATGTTTGTATAACCTAGCTAGGTCAGCTATTAGGGAGGATAACACTTGTGTACTTGTATTCTCCCCTTCTCCCTTCCTAGTCAACTTTTCTCGCTATACTAAGATGGCATCTAGAGCTAGGCTTCGACCCCCCCTCTCACGCTTCCGCCCCTAGCGCCTAGGATCGCACCGTTTCCCCCACCTCCTAGCCGCCCCTAGCCTTCGTCCCCCTTCCCCCCCGTCGTCAGCTAGCTAGCACGTCGCCCATTCGCTGCCACCACCTCGCAGCTAGCTAGCCACCGCCAGCTCATTCCCTAGCCGCTGCCAGCGTGCTGCTGCCAGCGCGCTGCTAGCCACCGCCAGCTTGCCACCGCCAGCCAGCAGCCGCCAACTCGCAGCTCGCTGCTGCCAGCCAGCAGCCAGCAGCCACCAGCTCACTGCCGCCAGCCAGCAGCCGCCAGCTAGCCGCTTGCCGCTCCCAGCTCGCTGCCACCAGCCAGCAGTCAACCAGCTAGGGCCACCAGCTTGCGCCTGTCGCTGCCTCCCCTTGGCTCGCCGCCCTCCCTGGCCCGTCGCGAACCCCTCGCTCGTTCCCCCCTCTCCCCCCCCTCTTGCTCGCCTCGCAGCTAGAGCCAGCCAGCTCACCAGCGCCAGCCAGCGCCAACACCAGCCCACCAGTGCTAGCCAACTAGCTCGCGCCAGCCAATGCCAGCCAACTCGCCAGTGCCAACCAGCGCCAACGCCAGCTCGCCAGCCTCAGTTAGCTAGCTCGTGCCAGCTAGCGCCAGCCCACGCCAGTCAGCGCCAGAGCCAGCTAGCTAGCTAGCGCCAATCGGTGCCAGTCAACGCCTGCCAGTGCCAGCCAGTGCCAGCGCCAGCCAACAAGCGTCATCCAGCCAGCCAGCGCCAGCCAGCCAGCGCCAGCCATCCTACGCCAGCCAACGTCAGCGCCAGCCAGCCAGCTCCAGCCAATGCCAGCGCAAGCCAGCCAACGCCAGCAGCCTGCTACCAGCCACCAGCACTACCTGTGCTAGCCGCCACCAGCACGAGCCGCCCAACGCCAGCCGCCGGACGCCAGCCGCCAGCGCTTGCAGCGCTAGCCGCCTGCCGCCAACATCAGCAGCCAGCGCCAGCCACCGCATGCAAGCAACACCAGCCGCCGCCCCTAGCAGCGCTAGCTGCTCGTTGCCAGCGCTAGCCGCCTGCCGCCAGCGCTAGCCGCTAGTGCCAGCAGCCCGCTGCAAGCCACCAGCGCCAGCCGCCACGGAGCCGCCACCAGCTCACAGCTCACTGCCGCCAGGTCGCCGCCACCAGCTCACTGCTCGCTGCCCGCCGTTGCCTGCCAGCCACTGCTCCAGCCGCCACTGCCCGCCGCTGCTGCCTGGCGCTGCTGCCCGCTGCTGCCCACCAGCCGCTACTGCCAACCGCCAAGGCCCGCCACTGCCCTCCAGCTGCCTGCACGCCACCAGCTATCCGCCAGCAGCGCCGGCCAAGTCGCAGCCAGCAGCGCCTGCCAGCTCGCTGCTGGGAGCGCTTGCTAGCTAGCCGCCAGCAGTGCATGCCAGCTCGCCAGCTAGCCCATTCTTCAGCTCACTAGCCTCTTTGCTTGCTCCTTCGCATGCCAGCTCGCCACCAGCGCGACACCTCACTGCCCGCAACTGCCAGCTCGCCAACACGTCAGCTCGCTAGCTCGCTCCCAGCTTGCCACATCTTGCAACCAGCTCGCCGCCAGCTAGCCGCCACTGCCACCTTACTGTCACTCGCTACTGCTCATGTCAGTGTGCCACTAGCCGCCACTGCCAGGCCTCCGATCTAGCCACAACCGCCACCGCTGCTACCTTCGTTAGTGCTCCTGTAGCCCCTAGCGCCTCCCTCTAGCCTCCTCCTGATTTCTAGAGTTCCTCGACGCCGCTCCTCTCGGCATGGCGATCTTTGTGCGGACAGTCCCTTGGCCGTACCGCCGGACAGTTCCCTTCACTCTCCGGCTTCTCGCGCACCGCCTACAGCTGGTATCCCCACACGTAGACTGCACGCTCCTGGAAGACCTCATCATCTTGCTCTTTAGCTTCTTGCAACATGACCTAGAGGCACGCTACCGGGCTGCTTGCCCGTCACAGCGGCAGCAGCGGCGGCAGCAGCAGTAGCAGCCGCATTGGGGTCTTGGGGGAATTGGGCACGTTGGAGGCCCTAGAGGTGGAGCCCTTGTGTAATTACTGCCCCTCGGACAGTGTGGTTTCTCAGGAGGACCGGGGGCTTGGGGACCTGGGGTTCCAGGTCCCACTACTGTGTCCAGTCTAGGAGCCTCTACTATGTGTCCCCTAGGCTCTTCCCCTGCCCCCCATATGGTGGCCCTCTCCTTCATACTCGACTCTGGCGCATCTCACTACTTCTTCCCAGACAGTAGTGCTCTCAAACCGCTTCCTACACAGGTCTAGATCTCCCTAGCAGACTCCCCCGCTACAGTAGTCGCACGCAGCACCACTGCTCTCCCCTGTCCAACAGTCACCTCTAGCTCCCTTACAGGTCTGCACATCCCTACGTTTGCCATGAACCTAGTTGGTGTCGGTCACCTCTAGGACTGTGGAGTCACCACCACATTTCCTGGCTACGCGAGATACGCAGCTGTACGGACATAGCCACGGGTAGACGTCTAGCCACTTGTGAGCGTGACCTAGTGTTCGGTCTCTTCACACTGCATACAAAGTACCCACCAGTTGCTACATCTACTGAGATAGCCGTGTTGTGAACCTGTCACCCACTCGATCCTTCTATGGCACCACCGCTTAGGTCACTCTGCACTCCCGCGTCTAAGGCACATGTCCCAGTACAGTCTAGTCAATGGTCTTCCTGCGTCGCTCCCAGTCCTTCCTGCATCAGTAGCACCCATGTACACCTCTTGCGTTGAAATTTGGCAGCACGCCGGTCCTCACCCCTCCTCGTTTCCTCCTACCACAGCGCCTCTACAGATACTGCACATGGACGTCTGGGGCCAAAGTCTTAGCAGCGAACACTTCCTCCTAGTCGTTGTTGACGTCTTAACTCGCTTCACCGCGGTCTTCCCACTGGAGCGGAAGGCCGACATGCCTGACGCTCTCATCCCGTGGCTGCTCGCCGCCCGCACCCAGCGCCGCCTGCCCGTAGTCCGTCTAAACTCTGACCGAGGTGGGGAGTTCACCTCCTGCGGTCTATGTTAGTTCTGCCGCGCTGAGGGTATGCGTCAGACGTACACACTGCTGGACTCCCCACAGCAAAATGGGATCACTAAGAAATGTATCGGCTTGGTCATGGAGGTAGCTCGCACCTCCTTGGTCCGCGCTGGTGCACCCGATTTTATATGGCCGTTCGTCATGCGTTATGCAGTTCACCATCTTAACCTGTGGCCGCACTCCATGCGCCCACAGGTTTCGCGGTCCCTTCTCTGGACCGGGTCCTCTAATGACGCCTCTGAGTTCCACGTCAGGAGCAGCCTTGCTCATGTCCACGCCACTGGAGCGGACATGCTCTCGTACTTTTAGGTGGGCATGCCAACTAGTTCTTACACTATTTATGTTGAAGCTGAGTGTGCTGTTTCCTAAAGGTGACGTAAGCCGTGGATCCATAACGCATTTCGATTCGGCTTCCTCCTGCGTACAACACTCCCTAGGCGCCAGATCGGTTGGACTGGTCAGACTGGCGCGTGCGCCAAAGCCAACGGACAAGCCCCCAGCAGGTCAGCCGACGGGGAGTGAGTGAGCAGGGTGCCTAGCCGCACCGAAAACGCCACCCTCCGCACACAGCTGGGGTTCCGCTCGATTCTTCCCCGCGCACACAACCATTTCCCCACGCCGCGTCACAGCGCATCCCCGCCCCAGTGCTGGCACCGAAAATCCTCCACGCGCTTGCCTGCCGCGCCTGGGTTGCGCGCATCCCTCCTCCAGCTTCCTAATGGTCGTCCGCCTGCCCTCCCGCCATCTCCATTCGCGTTGCCCTTGCTTCCATTGTACAGTACAGTACCTTCTCGAGATTCCCACTCTGGCATGGGTTGAGGCCAGATTGGGGTACTATTGCGTAGGATACGACTGCCCGATTCAGCGACTCCTCGCTCGCTCTCTGCAACTGCTCGCTACCTTGGTTCTCCGTTGCTCCAAGCAGCCCGCTTTGCCGGGCGATCCGGGGTGGGGCGCGGGGAGCGGCGATGAAGGCGGCATGGGGGAACATCACGGACGCCACCAAGGTGGCGGCGGCGCGCATGAACAGCGATTATAAGGTGCGCGCACCGCCACCACCACCACCACCACGACCACTCGCACTCGCATGCATGTATGCTCTCTCGGATGTGTGAATCGTGCGTTGATTTTTTGAATTGGCGGGTCTGGACTCTCTTCACGCACCGGCTGAGCGATCGCCATGTCCGTCTCACGATCTCGTGCGATCTCTGCCCTTCCAAGCCTTTTCAATCTGCGCTGATTCGAATCTCTTGTTTCCACGGGGCGTGGGGCGCGAGCTGCCATCCAGCCATCGTATGAATGTCTTTCCCTCGTCGTTCGTTTTCGTAGTCGCGGTTCTCGCAATCTCGTGCATGGGTGGCGTTGCGTGTCATGCGTGGGTGGGCTGTGCGCAGGACCTGGACGTGGCGATCGTGAAGGCTACCAACCACGTCGAGACGCCGCCGAAGGAGAAGCATGTCCGCAGTGAGTGCCGCCCTTGCTCCTTCACTCTACCGCGCGCCCCTCCCTGCATCGCGCTCGCGGTCGGCGCGTCCACGGCGATGGCGGAATGGATCGGGCGTGCGCCGGCCATGCCGCTCTTTCTTGCATCGCAACCGCTCTCCACGCTCCTGCCACCAGCCCACACCTTTGGACGCCTCGGGCGCCGTCGCGCCACGCGCTGTGCGGCGCACCGCTTTTGCCTGCGCGGCTTGCCCTCGCGCCGTTGTTTGTCGCGCATCCCGTCCTCCGCGTCTCCCTCCGCTGCTTGCCCCGGCTCGCGTTAGAGCCACGGCTCGGCGCGGCGTGGTGCGCGCTGCAGTGTGGCGCACGCACGCCAGCGGGCTTGCCGGCTCGCGGGGAAGGCGGCGCTGGCACCGCCGATCGCAGGCGCGCGACGGCCGTCGTGGGTGGCGGGGTTGCGGCCCATGGATGCATGTGCACGCGGCATCGACGGACAGGCCCCGCCGAGCACGCGCGGAGTGGCGGTGGCCGCAGTGCCCATGGCAGTGCTTTGGGGGGGGGGGGAGTCATCCTCTTGATGCACCCACTCGCATGCCTCTCTAGCGCGCACGCCACCACGGAACTACGTCCGCGCGCCCCGTCGACACCAGCCGCCACCTTGCGCTCTCCGCGCCAATTGCACCGCCTCGCGCACCCCCTGCCCTCATCCCCCCCGTCCCCCCTTCCGTCTTGTTCCCTTCCCCTCCCCCCCTGGACAGCCATCTTCGCGTACACGTCAGCATCTCGGCCGCGGGCTGACGTGGCATACTGCATCCACCAGATAGGCAAGCGGCTGGGCAAGACGCACAACTGGTGTGTAAGTACCGACTCCGCGCGCCCTGCGCTCTCGCCTCGCTGCGCTCGCCGCTCCGTTAATCCCGTCTCGCCGTTGCCTCCCCCCTTGCTCCTGTCCCACGCCCACCCCCCTCGCCGTCCACCCGTCCTCTCGTCGTTGCCCGGCCTTATCTCTGCTCCGTTCCTCTGCTTCCGTGTCGCTCTGCCGTCTCCGTCATTGTCAGCTGTGACGAGGTAACTCTTCCTGTCTCCGTCCCCGTGGTGCCAGCTTCCCACCCATCTCGTGCCGCCCTCGCTTCCAGTCTCCCTCCACCTCCCTTTCCTCTCGTTCTGCTACCTGTCTGGTGGGTGTGTGGGTGTGTGGGCATGGGAATCGGCATTGGCATGGGCATGGAGCATGGCGCATGGAGCATGGCGCATTGCGAATGGGCATGGCTGATGGGGCTTGGCGCACATGGGGCATGATTATGGCGCATGGCACATGGGGCATGATTATGGCGCATGGCGCGTGGCCCATGAGCAGGTGGCGCTCAAGTGTCTGATGGTGCTGCACCGCACGCTGAGGGAGGGCGACCCCACGTTCAGGGAGGAGCTGATCAACTACGAGCGCAGGGGGCGCACGCTCAACCTCTCCAACTTCAAAGACGAGTCCGGCCCCGCAGGTACCCAACCCACCGACACTCGCACCTCCCTCCCGCGCCCTCTCATATCGCCTCCTGGCGCCCCTCCTCGCCCCTCGTGCCTTCCCCCTTCCCTCAATCCCCCCTTTCTCCGCTTCCTTCCTACCAACCCCTGACAGCGTGGCGCTCACCCCAGCGCCCGTTTCTGTCTCGGTGTGCATTATCCACTTGTCTCATGCGCTCACCCTCGCTCCCCTCCCCGTGCAGCCACATCCCTTCCTGCTTCCGCCTGGCCGCCCTCACACGCCCCATGGCTGCCGCATCCCCACTTAGCCCCAGGCAATCACGCTCACTCCTCGCCATCTCTCCCTGCTTGCTGCCCACGCCCCCTCCTCCCTCGCCCTTCCCTTTCCCTCCCCTCCCCAACTCGTCCCCCCTCGTCCCCCCCTCGTCCCCCCTCGTCCCCCCCTCGTCCCCTCCTGCCGGTGCGCGCAGCGTGGGACTACAGCGCGTGGGTGCGCACGTACGCGCTGTACCTGGAGGAGCGCCTGGAGTGCTTCCGCACGCTCAAGTACGACGTCGAGGCCGAGAAGTCGTCGGTGCGTGGGGGCACGGGGCAGCACGGGGCAGCACGGGGCAGCACGGGGCAGCACGGGGCCGCACGGGGCAGCACGGGGCAGCACGGGGCAGCACGGGGCAGCACGGGGCAGCACGGGGCAGCACGGGGCAGCACGGGGCAGCACGGGGCAGCACGGGGCAGCACGGGGCAGCACG